CACTGAGCCACTTACTATTGGAAGAAGCAAGCAGGATGAATAAGCTAGCCTTTTCTAAGTCAACTGATAGCAAAACAAAAGATGACTATTATCTCTTAAACTGTCATCCTTATAATACCCTCCCTTTCCCTTATTATTCACATACACATGTCTTTTCTCAAACCTCTAGGCCTAATAATCACTACTTTTTTGCTGATATTCATAGCAACTTAAACAATAATAATCATATGCAATCATATGCAATCATAAACCTAGCATCATCATAAGCCTGCATCTAACAAAAGCTCTAATATAAAACATTAAACTAACCTATAATAGAATATAAACAAAAACAAATTTGCAATAAAATTATCTGATTTTATAATAATAAATGCTCTGTCACTTCATTGAAAAGCTATCAAAAATTAATAACTAATCAACAACTAATTAACATCATATTATAAAAATTTATATAATTTAAATAACTAATTAACACTAAATTAAAAATCATATACAGATTAAATTTTAAATAATTTCATTAGCAAATTCTATTTATCACACCAGAAAACAGAATTCTAGAAACAATACAAGTCTGCAATTTGTTATAAATAATTATTATATATTCATTTATAATTCTAATTTCAGGAATGATATATAGAATTTGCTAGATACAGTAATTCAAAAAGCGTAATAAACAACTTAAAAATAACATAATTACACTTTATTCCTACTAATTCATTATCTCATGAACTATCACTACTTACAGGAGTATCTGTCCAAATATGTAGATAATCCTGATATTGCTACACAAATAATAAATAATTTTTTATACATAATAAAATACACTCATTAGAAAGCTCGAGTAGCTTAACTTTCTATAAAATGCAGTGAGTATAACAGATTAATTAACACTTTCACCTCATCATGTAACATGTCTATTTAATTCCAACAACTTTTTTGTAATTTGATTAGCTAATTTACAAGGTTGCTTACTAACATTTATATATAACTTTATCAAAATTATCTATATATCCAGACTGTAGTTACCATCTACTTCAATAAAAATTATACAAATTATACAAATTCAACTACTTTATGCTCATCAACATAACTGCACTTCATAAATTCAACTCTCTCAATGTATCCTTTATCCTTGTTACTAGTTTAAAAATGATGTGCAATTTGAGTATCAATTAAAGCTTAAACATGTTTATGGATTATCTCAAAACACTATCACAAATGATTATATGTTAGTATTTAACGAATTTGATGAATTTTGTTCTAAAAGGGATTACGAATGTGGAAAATGTGCAAATTGCAAGCGATATAATACATCACAAGCTTGGTGTCAGACATGTGACCCTCAGAAGGCAACACAAGGGTGAACAAGTGGAAATAAATATATTGATGATTGCATTAAAGAATTTCAACTTAAAACAACATCATATGAAAATGTAATCGAATGGATTCCTTTTAATAGATTAGTTGATATTCAAAATATTGGGGATAAATTTTTAGCAACCTGGCTAGATGGTGTACGATGTCTAGATGAATGTATGAATGAAAATTTTAAATGTGAATATATACAGTCACGTATACCATCACATAAAGTGGAGCTTAAAAGATTAACTAGGACACAAAGTTTATTAGATATGTTAAATGAAGTAAGTTAAAATATTTATTGTTACACGATATATAGCTTTTAATATATTAATATCTGTATATTTACATGTTTAATTAGTTTGTAGATTATGTACAATTAAAAAATAGCGATCTTAAAGTATATGGTCTAACTCACAACAACGCAACAAATGAGTATATGTTAGTATTTGATGAATTTTGTTATAAAAGAAATAATGATTATGGAATATGTGCAAATTGCAAGCGATATAACACACGGATACTTTGGTGCCAAACATGTGACCCTCAGAAGACAACACAAGGGTGGACAAGTGAAAATAAAGATATTGATGATTGCATTAAGGAATTCCAACTTAAGGCTACAGAATATGAAGATGTAATCGAATGGATTCCTTTTAATAGATTACAAAATATTCAAATGATTGGTAAAGGAGGATTTGGCTCTGTATTTTCTGCAACGTGGTTAGATGGTAAAAGAATAGCTTTAATTGCTGATCTTTATGAGTACACACGATCACGTACACCATCATGTGTAGTTGCACTTAAAACTTTGCCTGGTTCACAAATGAATTTTTTAAGAGAAGTATGTTTAAAATGATTCATTTATAATCTAATATAAGTAAATTATAGATTAACTATTAACATCATAAATTGTGTTTTATTTAATCAGTTTAAAAACTACACAGAATTTAGATTAATGGGTAATAATCTTGAAGTGTATGGACTAACTCAAGACACGACTAATAATGAATGTTTGATGGTATTTCAATACGCAAATAGAGGAAGTCTTCATAATTTCCTGTCTTTAAATTTTAGAGATCTTAATTGGAAAAGTAAATTAAAGCAGCTCATCGATATATCACATAATTTAATAAATGTACATGATGCAAAATATGTTCATGGGGATTTTCATAGTGGTAATATATTGCAAAATCAATATATTAATGGTAATCTAATATCTTATATTGCAGATCTTGGATTATCTAGAAAGAAGGATGACTCTGATTTAGAAGATGGCATTTATGGCGTTTTACCATATGTTGCGCCAGAAGTGTTAACTAAAGACCCGTATACAACTGCAGCTGACATTTATAGTTTTGGTATTATTATGACTGAGATATCCACGGGAAAATCCCCTCATTTGGATATTGAATATGATGAAATGTTAGCTATAAAAATATGTAATGGATTACGTCCTGAATTTGCTAAAGACACTCCTGAGTGCTATATCCAATTAGCAAATAAATGTATGGATGCTAATCCTTTTAATAGGCCAACTGCATCTGATATATATAATGAATTAGTAAGATGGTATAATATAATATATTGGAATACTGCAAAAGATAAGGATGGATTGGCAATATTAAAAGCATTCCAGTCTGCGGATGCAATTATTCCAACATTATCAACCGAATTGACAAATTTCCCTAAAGATAAACTTACAAGTAAACTGCTTAACTTTAAAAACCTTTCGAAACCAATTAATTCTTTATCTGCGGAATTGCTAAAAGTTTGCGGTGGATATTACTTCTATTATGTCTTTAAAATTAATCGATAGAATTTTTAATTACTTTTTAATTCTTTAGATTCTACTATGTGCAAATTTTCAATTTCCGATGCCAATTATAATAATATTTCACGTATGTATTTAATAATTTTTCCTATAATATGTGTATCATAAGATTATTAATTTATCTATTTAAATACTTGGTCTTTACAGCTATTAATGAAGTATTATAAATTCTGTCACGGGATAAAAGTGATATTTCCGATGATCACCTAAAATACTGCGGAATAATCAACAACCGGGTTAGCGATCATGAATTTCGAAAGGTAAAATAACGCGTACGATCTACGAGGCTTAGATGTTCATGCTGGAAGGTTCTAGCAATAACGACGCGAAGAAGGTTCATGAAGGAATTAAGTATAAGAAAAAAACCTGAACAGTAAAAATAAGGATGTGCGGGATTAGCGAACATGCGCAAGAAACAATAAAAGTTGTAATGATCCCCTCTTTAAGCCTTTAGTCAAATGGTTATAAAAAGCTTACGTTTTAGCACTGTAGAGAAGGGGGGAGTCAACCACTAATTAATAAATAAAGAACTTATTAAAGTCCTTATAAAACCATCCTGCATAAAATCGAAATATATAAGTTTTACTAAATCACCATAATCACGCCCCTGGCGAACTGCCTATATTCCAAAAACTCTATAAAATTCCTTGCCAACCTAATAATTGTGTAATTTCACCTCGTAACAGTACTAAATTAATTTTATTTAAATTACTTATCCCCTAATTATTTGATAAATATATTTCAAATTATTTGAATTGTTAATTCATGCAATATTAAAGCTATTGGATTTTAATTAAGTTTATTTATGCTAACTGGACCGAAGAAATAAACTTGTTCGAAAATTTATATAAGGCATACGAAGATAATCACTTGGTTTTATAGTTTCGATCACCTGACCTTTTTTAAAAAAATATTTTATATGAAAAATCTTTTTCAAAAAATTCATTTCTGTTCTCAATTATTTGAGGTTTCGTTAGCTTTCTTTCGTGTTTGTTTTCCAAAATCCTTTGGGATAAAGTTTTTTTTATTAAAAAACAACCTAATATTTTAAATTTTGGTATCATATGTTATATTCTTAAAAATCATTAAGGGTAATTCGTAGTTAAAGCATAAACATTACTAAGTATCATAGTCGATACTTATTATAAATTTTTTATAGTAGTAAGTGCCGATTCACTACAATGAAAGGCTTTTTTTTTTTTTTTTTTACTAAGTAAACATCTTTTGAAGCTTTAATTAATGTTATTAAGATTCTAGTGATAATAAGATTATTAAAATTGATTGTGCAAATCACAAGATATTAAGATTTTTTTCTTTTTTTTTACATGATTTTTCCTTATTGTCATAAATGTTCGGCATTCCATTATTATATGAAAGCTATAATAAAACACCGCCGTATTTTTATACCCTTTAACTGCGGACTGTTATAGGCGATTACATTTATTTCAGATCCACATTCTTCCTTTTTTCCTATCCGTCATACAAAACGAGATAAATCAGAATCAGATATTCACTATAAATAATATCACGAAAACTTTAACGATAAATCTCCTAACTAATTATATAAGTTTGTTCTTTGATAAACAATGGCCAAGAGTAACGATAGTTCATCGATGCCAACATCCACAATAGGTAAAGTTCAATACAAATATACGTATGTAACTTCTGGTTAATTTCAATTTACATTCATATATAGTGATAGGTTTTTCCTAAAGTTGGCATAGTCTTTGAATCTTAATGGCTATAGTTTTAGCTACTCTAAATGTAATTACACACTTTGTGAATCATCACCTTCACATCAGGAAGCCTAAGCTTCAAAGCATCTCAAAAATGGTAGTTCTATCACGCAAATCGATTAGTTACTGTATACACGTCAATCCTGAAATGTAATATCAACGTGTTAATTCACCATCTCTAACCGAAAGTGAAAGCAGTGGACTTTCAGTTGGTAGACGTTCCGCACCTTCAAATGTTAAACATGACTTTATATTATAATAGGACTGAAGTTCCATCACTGGGATCACGGATTATTCCAATTAGAACTACAAAATGCGGGTCAGAAAGGAATTATGGGCCAAAGAGAATATGCACGAATTTCATTATTGCCATATCTTGGCCCAAAATATAAATTATCTGACCCGCCATCAAGTGCTATAAGTAATAGATCTTATAGTTTATAGATTGTATTCGATAAGCAAAGGTGTAAATATAAAATTATGTATTATGTAACCATTTCGTTTTAACTAGTAATTTAGTTACAGTATATAATTTAAAGTAAAAACTATATATATAACTAAGGAAAAATTACCATTTAAATCCGAATCTTAATAGTAATTTTTTTAAAATTTGAATATTGGTGATAATAAATGCATAATATGCACCAGATATTTCCTTAGTCCTTGTAAATACCCGAATAGGGATGTTAAATCGCGAATCCAGTCCGGTCCTAGGATCTCTAGGACGGTCCAGGATCTAGATCCCTTATCTATCAATAAATCGGTCCCAGGACCTGATCCTGAATTGCAATTCTCAAATAAGTTCCATCCAATCATATTTTTTTAAAAAAATTTTTTTTATTATAAAAAAAAGTAAAAGAGAAAATTTTTTATATAAAAAAACTAAAATTATATAAAAAAAATATATATATATATATAAAATGAAATTTATATATATATAAAAAAAAAATTTATATAAAAATTTTTTTCTATATAAAAAAGAAACCACTAATTTATTTTAATCTTTTTTCTTTTAGAGACCTGGTTTACTTACCTCCTCTTTTAATATATAACCTAGTTCCATAAATCAGCTTTTCAAACACATGGAGGTGCATGTGACTTTGGGATCTATTCAATTTCAGGTGAGGTTAATTGTGTGCCTTGCAATAGAAAAGACTTGTTCACTTGCTACACTTGTGGACTGAGTTGAAAGAAAGTTCATTGCAATGTCTACAAGTATTGAAAATTGGTTAGAGTTTGCTTTTCATTAGAGAAGTGAATCAGTCTCATATTCTGACTTAGTGAAGTATTTCTTAATTTCACATTGATTGAGATTTACTTGGTAACATTTCATAAGATTTTGAAAAAGCTCTTATGTTGATTTAGTAGTAAAGTTTATTTTCTTCAGGCAGTTTATATATTTTATATACTTCATAGAGTTTATTAATAGCTTGTTCACGTTTAGTAATATCAAAAATAGAAAGTTTATTATAAGGATCAAAAGGTTAAAAATTATTGACAACTTATTTAAATAAGCCCAATACAATATAAATTTTACTTATATTACATTAACTACAACATGTTGTGTATTGATCACTGGGTTTTCATTATTATTTAAATATATAATAAGATCTTAGAATATCAAGCACTAGTCACTTTGTATCAGAAATGTTAATGAAAATAATATCACAGTCACATAATACATGAGTTTAAGAAGAACTAATAGGTTTTGTAATTCATAATAATAGAATTAAAGTATTTTTTAAAATATATATAGCAATTTATTTAACTAATTATAATAATTTTCCATTATTGTTCATTAGAATAATATAGTTTTAACATTTGATTGCTTATAATAAGAATATCATTTATAGGATGAATCCATTGAAGTTTCTCTAACAAAATATATATATTATTCTATCTGGTATCGATGTCAGTTTGAGGCATTAAAAAATGAGTATTTTTTATTTCAAAAATTTGTTTTAATTCTCTAATTAGTAATGAAGATTGTTTAAGTTTTATAAAAAACTCTCACATTTTGAAAATTTCTTTACTAACTAATTTAATTTTTTCTTCAATAATAAGATTTAGAATATGTGTATTACAGTAAAAATGCTATATATTATTATTACTAAATTCATTACTCATTTTTTTTTAGAATATACTTCATTGCAATTATATTGAAAGCATTATCTGTTATTATTTCTAAAAGCTTTTAGCTTATATTCATTTTAAATAAAAGTTCAATTATTATATCAGTTTGGTTAATTGCAGTATGTGTTTGATTGAAAGAATAATGTCTAATAAAATGCAATACATTTTCTATTTAGAATCCACTTAATATGTGGTTATACCAAGATAGGGTTATTGTATGCAGAACATCTATCTGTCTATCATAATCAAAATTTTTGATTGAATCATATTAAAAAAAGAGATATTTTTATTTTTATTTTTAATATATTCTTAACTGACCCAAGTCAAAAGAGTCTGTTGGCATGAAAATTTGTATTGTGGATCAAGTTTATATAAAAAATTAATAAATTTAACATTTTTAACTAACAAAAATGATTGTTGGTCAACAATTACCTATTTTAAAAGTTTATTATTTTATGTATTTACTTTATATTTATCATTTGGATCATAAAAGTCAAATCAGTAAAGTTTATATTACTTGATTTTAGTAAACTCTACAAAATGAAAGTTTTAAAAATGCTGATTAATGGTTAATATTGTAGTCTGACTGCCAAATATTTGTTTATATAATTTATATTCTTTATTTTCATCAAGAGTTGGTAAAAGGTAATTTCTAACAGGTATTTAATTATTTGCAGATAAAATTGAAACATTACTTTGTATTTGATTTGTGTTATCAAATAATAATACAATTTTATTATTTATGGTTTCTTTACTAAATACTTCAGGTTCTTTGTCTACAAATTTGATATTTGTCATAGGTTTAGATTCATTTGTATTTATTTTTATTTTTTTTTATTTTTTATTTTTTTTATTTATTTTTTTTTATTTTTATTTTTTTTTATTTATTTTTTTTTTAAGAGAGAGGAACTTTAAATAATTTTATAATGAACTACCTTTATTATATAGCCTTTTGTTTAATTATGTCTTTGTTACTGAAAGATTTATGAAAAGATTAGTTTTTCTCTTGTTTTATCAAACAAAATTACTATAAATATGAGTAATGTTTTATTATCAATAAAACTTTATATTAAATATAGATGATGCTTTACATCAATAAACTTTTGGCCTCTATAATAAAACTTTACAATGAACATAGGTGATGCTTCACATCAATAAAACTTTGGTTCTCTATGATAAATAAAACTTTACATTGAACATGAGTAATGTTTCACATCAATAAACTGTCTTCTATCAAGCAGGATGTTAAAACATTAATGCCTTTTATTATTAATAAGTTTTTTCTAAGGCATATCATACTGTCTTTGTTTTATCAAATAGGAATAATTATCTTGAAACAGAAATTTTTTAGATATTTACAATAAGAGTACATTACTTTTATTGAGGTAGTTTTCTTTTATTTTAAGACAAAGACAATCAACAATTATAAATTATAGCTTATTCAGATTAAATTAACTTATATATAAGTTTAAATTTATCTTTATTATATATTTAATGCTAGAGATGGTTAATTTCTTTAAGGAATATGATATTGCCTTTAGCATAGAAAACAACACCTTTATTATTCTAAAAAGTTGGTTAATAAGCATGAGTGAATCTCTTTTGCTATTAAATACACAATAATTTATTTCTAAGTTTACTCACCTATGGACACATATTTAAATTCAGAGATAGTTAGCTTCTTAAACACAACAAATAGTTGGTTCTCTTTTTGTCACTAATTCTTTAACTTCATTAAACATGACAAATAGTTTCTCTTATCACTAATTCTTTAATTTTATAGCCATATTATACTTAAACTGAGACTATAAATTATTCATTAAAACATATGCCTTACAAAAAAAAATAAATAAATAACATAAAATTTGCTAATGAAAAAAATTTCTTCTTGTCAAAGGCAGTCTTCTTGCTATTGCAAGGTGCACTATTTAATGTTCAATGAATGCAGATCTTGAAATTTATAAAGGAACTCAGGTCCCAAAACTGATCTAGAATTTAGGTTCAAAACTGATCTGAGATTTAGGTCCCATATAACTATCATATGATTTAAGAATTGAATCCTTACAAATTCTTGAAAGGATTGGTTAGAATCAGTCAGGATTTGGTCCTAAAGAACCGATTAACATCCCTATACCCGAATACATCTATTAGCATTTTATGGTAATTACTGGGTTATTTGTACTAAAAACATGTGAAAATAACAATGTTAGGATTAAGGCAAGACAATGTTGTCAATTTTTGCATTTAGTAAACTTTAAAAGATCCAGTAGTTACATAGTACTAAACACTTAATCATGCAAATTTGTAGGTATAAAAATTGTATAATCATTCCTTAAGTCATCAATTATAGAATATTCATAGTGTTAGTATACTGTATATAGAATTTAAAATCTCCTTTGAACATCGCAATGATCATTCTGAAATATCTATTTAAACAGAAATTTCAGAAATAATTGACTACTTGAATTCTACAGGTCTCTAGGATTTAATAATTTTGAAATTGCTTGAGATACTTCTATTTATTAATAGTAATATAGGAATAAAATAAAATAATTAACATCGAGATAAAAATTTACGATTTGATCATGAAAATATTCACTGCCATGACCCAATTAGTTGTTTAAATTTAAATTTGCTAGTTTAAAACATCCTGAACTGTATTATAAAAATCATAGATTCTAACATGAATCAGATACATATTGATACTACTGCATCAAACATTTTATAGGAAGTTTGATTATTTCAACAAGATACAATAATATAAATAAAATTTCTCATATAGTTTCATTATACTTTTACAGATATTTGGATTCATTAAATACTGTACTTATACAACTAGTAATTATTCTATTATGAATAAACACCTCTTTTCAAATTTGTTACTGAAATTATTGGATGCACATATACAGTTTTATAAAATGAAAACAGATTTTTTAAATGATACATATTGCAATATTTAAACAATGAATTATATAAATATTTGTGCTATATACTTTGTCAAATATATGTATAGTATATATATAATATAATACAAAATGATGATGAATTTTGCTATAATATTTCAGAATTATGGTTAATGAACTTATGGAAAATGTGCAAAATAACACATTATCAGTTTAATATCAAACATGTAATTTTCAGAA